TCGAAGTCCTCTTGAAACCCTCCTTGAGCGTTTTGGGCGCTTCTTAGGCCGTTTTGGGAGCAACGTGAACCATCTTGGAACGCTCTTGGCCTGAGGCCGTGGGGCCTGCCACCCATTTGGCGCCTCATCGGGGCGCTCCAGGGGCCCCGAGGCCGCGCCCAGGAGTTTCGGCATCTCTGACCCGACCCTGCCGGGACTTGCCGGGACTTCCTGGGACCTTGCTGGGAAATTTGCCGGGGTACTCATTCGCCCGGAGACTCGCAGGGGCCGCCGCGCGCATGCGAGTCAGACATATTATTTTAACTCTTGCCAGAGATTTTAGCACGCCTCTGGCTTCTTGGGCTGGCGAAATCGTTCCTCTGCCCAAGGTTCCGCGCGGCAGAGCTTGGAGGAGCTCCGCTCGTGGCACCAGGCAACAAGTGGCGAAACACATCTGGGCCACGGAGGAGGAGGAGGAGGAGGAGGAGGAGGAGGAGGAGGAGGAGGAGGAGGAGGAAGAGGAGGAGGAGGAGGACATTCCACTTGTCGTGCTGACGGACCGCCGACGTTCCATCTGCGAGGCTCCGCGTGCCAGCACTGCGGGAGTGCGGCGGCTGGGCGCCCTCCCGCCCGCCCGCCGCGCGGCCGGGGCGGGGATGGCGGGCGGGGGCCTCGTGCACGACCCCTTCGTGTCGGCGTTCTCCGATGGGCAGCTCATGGAGAAGCTCGCTGCCAGGCGCGGCACTCGGCGCCCCCTCGGGCCTCTCGGGCACTCGGCGCCCCTCGGGCCTCCTCCTCCTCCTCCTCCTCCTCCTCCTCCTCTCCTCCTCCCCCTCCTCCTCCTCCTCCTCCTCCTCCTCCTCCTCCTCTTCTTGCCGAGGAGGGGGGGGGGGGTCGAGGACAGAAGAACCTCTCACCCCTACAGCCACCATGCAGACGCCGCAGCCCAACGCTCGGGTCCCCGTCTCTGCATCCGGGAGCCTCGATCCGGGTGGTGCGGTCCGGCACATCCGCTGAAAAGGTCCCGCACCCCTCCCTTTTTTGGGCCTCTCAACTTAGGTCCGCTCCCAGCGGGTTGAGGGGCCCCAGATTGCGAATCGCACTGGAGGTTCGAGGATCGAAGCTCCTGGGCGCTGTTCGCCCTCTGCTTGGCCCTCGGGAGGCTTCTTGTCGACCTGGCTGGACTCCCCTGGAGATGCTGGCTAGGACGCGCCCCCCCGAGGAGCGGTCTGAAGGTCGTCCCCGTGAGGCCGCCACGAGGCAGACGCGCCCTGGAGGAGCGAAGGCGACGACGGCCGTGACGACGTCGACGACGACGACGACGACCACGACGACCACGACGCCGACGACGCCGACGACGACGACGACGACGACGCCGACGCCGACGCCGACGCCGACGCCGACGCCGACGACGACGACGACGACGACGACGACGACGACGACGACGACGACGACGACGACGACGACGACGACGACGACGACGACGACGACGACGACGACGACGACGACGACGACGACGACGACGACGACGACGACGACGACGACGACGACGACGACGACGACGACTACGGCGGTGCCAATGGCGACGACGACGACGGCGGTGCCAATGACGACGACGACGACGGCGGCGGCGGCGACGACGACGACGACGACCACGTCGCCGCCGACGACGCCGACGACGCCGATGCCAGCGGCGGCGGCGACGACGACGACAACGACGAGTTCGACGACGACGCCGACGGCGGCCTTGCAGCCGAAGACGTCGACGACGACGAGTACGACGACGACGATGACGACGCCCACGACGCCGACGACGACGACGCCTCCACCGGCGGCGACGGCGGTGACGGTGATGTCGACGACGACGACGACGCCGACGTTGACGACGACGCCGGCGCCGACGACGACGCCGACGCCGACGACGACGACGCCTACGACGACGCCAACGGCGACGACGATGGCGGCGACGACGACGATGACGCCGACGGCGACGCCGACGACGACGCCGACGACGACAGGGCCGGACGGCGGCCGAGGGGTCTGCCGCTCGGCGGGCGGGCCCCCTTCGCGTCCGGCGCGCGCGCGGGCGCGTGCAGCGTCTCGGGCCCTGCCCGCGCGCGAGGAGGAGGAGGACGAGGAGGAGGAGGAGGAGGAGGAGGAGGAGGACGAGGACGAGGACGAGGAGGAGGAGGAGGACGAGGACGAGGAAGAGGAAAAGGAGGACGAGGAGGACGAGGAGGACGAGGAGGACGAGGACGAGGAGGAGGAGGAGGAGGAGGACGAGGAGGACGAGGAGGAGGAGGAGGAGGAGGAGGAGGACGAGGACGATGGCGAGGGTACTCAAGGTCGTCCCGAGCGGCCGCTGGCGGTGGAGGTGGCCTTGTTCGGGAGGTGGACGGGCCCACAGAGGTGTCCCCCCCGCGCGCGCGCGCCGGGGGCGGAGCTCGGGGCGGCGGCACCGCAGGAGGCCTCAGGCGGGCCTTTTCCCTGCTCGAGATTCTTCGGCTTCCCGAGGAGGAGAATGAATGGCCTTCCGACCTCGGCCCCTCGGTTTCCTTCCTCCAACCTCGCGGAAAGCAGGGGAAGCTTGGCCGCAGCATCTTCATCTGTGCACACGTCGTCCTCGTCCTCCTCGCCCTCGTGGCGTCGTCGCCCCTAGGAGACCGCAGGAAGCCTCAGGCAGGCGGCGGCACCGCAGGACAAAACCCCCAACAGTGGCACGTCGATTAGTGAATTGTCCGTTTTCAGTTCTCGAGAGGGCGCCGTGGCCGTTATCTTCCAGGCTTGCGCCCGCCAGGTTTGGGCCTCAGGTCGTTTTCACTAAACCACGTTTTACTAAAGGGAGGTCTGTCCATCCCCGATTCTGCAGGAGGGATGTCCAGGAGTGGTCCAAAAACAGCCTGGGGAGGATTGCAGAGCTGTTTTTTGTTTGATGTGTGTGTGTGTGTGTGTGTGTGTGTGTGTGTGTGTGTGTGTGGGGGCACTTTTTTTGCTGTTGGATGACTATGTTGTAACTTTTCGTCCAGGATCCTCCTGCCTGGGTGACATGCCCGACCCGAGGGTGACCCCGAGCCTGCCGCCAGCCAGGCCTGGACTCACCATCGGACCTTCCTGCCAGCGCAGCGGCGGCCGCCCGCCCGCGGGCCCAGTGGCCAAAGGGAAAGAACCGATGCTTGGCTTCAGGCTGTACGTCCCAAGGGAGGAGAGAGGAGGAGGAGGACAAGGACGAGGAGGGGGAGGAGGAAGAGGAGGAGGGAGGAGGAGGAGGAGGAGGAAAAGGAGGAGGAGGAGGAGGTTCTCAGGATTCCCTCGGAAGTCCTCCGGCCCTCCGAGAAGTTTTCTGAGCCTGTTCCCCGAAGGCCGACAAAACAAAACTTCTCAGACGGCGAGAGGGCTTCTGAGAAGTCCCGCCGCCTTCTGAGAATGCCTTCTCCTTCTCATTTCCCCCCCTCGCTCGCCGCGAAGAGAAGCGTTAGGGAGGATGCGCGGCGCGAGGCACAAGAGAAGCAGAGCAAGCGGGTGGGGATGGCAAAGTGAGGCTGACGAGCAGGAGGAGGAGGAGGAGGAGGAGGAGGAGGAGGAGGAGGAGGAGGAAGAGGAGGAAGGAGGAGGATGAGGAGAACATGCGGAGGTGGTGGTGGAGGAGGAGGAGGAGTAGGAGGAGGACCCGAACGTAGCCTCGGGCCTCCCCCATCCGAGCCGGCCGGCGACCCCTACGCGGCGCGCCAAGTCCCGCGGTGGCTAAGCACATGGCCGACCCGGGGTTCACGAGGGAGCTGCAGAGGCTGCAGAAGGTCGCCACTGACGCGAGACTGGACCGCACGGCCCCGTGTCATCTGGAAGAGGAGCGGGAGGGGGATGAGGAGGGAGGAGGAGGAGCAGGAGGGAGGAGGAAGGAGGAGGGAGGAGGAGGAGCAGGAGGGAGGAGGAAGGAGGAGGAAGCATGATGATGATGATGATGATGATGATGATGATGATGATGATGATGATGATGATGATGATGATGATGATGATGATGATGATGATGATGATGATGATGATGATATGATGATGATGATGATGATGATGATGATATGATTGCTGATGATGATGATGATGATGATGATGATGCTGATGATGATGATGATGATGATGATGATGCTGATGCTGATGCTGATGATGATGATGATGATGCGATGATGATGATGATGATGATGATTGATGATGATGATGCTGATGCTGCTGGCTGCTAGCTGCTGAGGAGGAGGAGGAGGGGAGGAGGAGGAGGAGGAGGAGGAGGAGGAGGAGCAGCAGCTGGAGGAGGAGGAGGAGGAGGAGGAGGAGGAGGAGGAAGAGGAGGAGGAGGAGGAGGAGGAGGAGGAGGGGGAGGAATAATAACACTAATAATAACAACAACAGTAGTAATAATACTAATAATAATAAGAAGAAACAGAAGAAGAAACATAATAATAAGAAGAAGAAGAATAATAACAATAAGAATACGAATACTAATAATAGTAATAATAATTATAATAATAATAATAGTAATAATAATAGTAATAATAATAAGAATAAAAACAATATTATTAAACAAAGAACAATAATAATAACAATAATACGAATACGACGAACAATAATAATAATAAGCATAATCATCATACTAATCATAATAATAAGAAGAATAATACGAATAATACGAAGACGAATGCTACTAATCATAATAATAAGAAGAATACTAATAAGACTAATACTAAGAATAATACGAATACGAATAAGAATAATAAGACTAATAATAATAATAGTAATACTAATATTATTATTAATAATAATAATACTACTACTACTAATAATAATACTAATATTAAGAAATAGTATACCAAGAAGAAACATAATACGAATAATAATAATAATAATAAGAATAATAATACTACGAATACTAAGAGTAATAATAATAATAATACTAATAATAATAAGAAGAAGAATAAGAATAATAATACTACTAAGAAGAAGCAGAAGACGAATAATAATAAGAGGAGGAGGAG